ATGACTATACTAGAATTTTTTTTCTTCAAAGTTTTGTTCATTTGAGATTCAGTCAATCTGAAGACCTAGGAGTGCAACATTTAAACTTTTTCGATTAACTGTAAATCCAGCTGTCAGAAGCAGGTTTTTTTCTTCACAAAAGGAATTCTCTACCATATTCGTACCAGGTTTTGTGTGTAAGTCTGGAAATTCTCAAAATACACAAAATAATCTATAATTTTTAATACGTATTAGAACTTACTAAGAACTGAACAACTTCATATGAACAGCGAGATAGTTTACTCTCTAGTATTAAACATTAAAGTAAACTTATATATATGTTTAGGAGTTTAAAAAATAGCAGTTCAATAATCAATAGTTCTGTTCAATGGTTTCTTAATTAAGATATATATGTATGTATTTAAAAAGGTGTTCTTATCCGTAACATACTTTGTTTGACAAACAGTGCTTATAGCATTTATATGGATAAGTGGTTTATTATTCTGATAATGCCCCCCCCCCCCTAGTGGCACAACGGTATGTCTGCGGACTTACAACACTAGAAACCGGGTTTCGATACCCGTGGTGGGCAGAGCACAGATAGACCTTGTATAGCTTTGTTCATAATTAAAACAAACAAACAAACAATTTTGATAATCTTTCGAAAATATTTCATAAATTTCATAACAATATCATTTTGTCTATGATATCGTATTGCATCTATCCAAATGTTGTGAAGAAAACTTAATCAGTCAGATCAGCTTAATTAGGTTTGGTTTGATTGTTGTTAAGCAGAAAGCTAAACTATGGGCTATCGGTGCTCTGCCCATCACGCGTATCCCACTGGTGGGAATTTAAGTTTGTTTGTTTGTTTTAAATTTCGGGCAAAGCTACACGAGGGCTATCTGCGCTAGCCGTCCCTAATTTAGCAGTGTAAGACTAGAGGGAAGGCAGCTAGTCATCACCACCCACCGCCATCTCTTGGGCTACTCTTTTACCAACGAATAGTAGGATTGACCGTAAGATTATAACGCTCCCACGGCTGAAAGAGCGAGTATGTTTGATGTGACGGGGATTCGAACCCGCGGCCCTCAGATTGCGAGGGAATTTAAGCAAGAAAATAGGATCGATATGACTTTAATAAAGGTGTTGCTTCGTTAAGGTAATACCTTTTGTCGTTGGTTAAGAAGGTCAAAGGTTAAATCCACATGATTAATCATTACGTCTTAGATAACAAGCTAACAATCTTTTCTTTGAAAGTAAATATAAAGTTTGTTTCTTGCATCATTCGGTTAATAAGTATTATCTATATGTAAAAAGCAGAGTTGTCCGTTTCTTTAGTGTCACAAGTTGTTGTGAAGAAATGGAAGCACCAGTTTTGATAAAATTTGACAGAAAAACCCAAAGTTCAAATGGAAAGTTCGGCAGCCATTTCCATTTTATCGCCTTAATGCTGCGAATGAGCGAGGAAGTCAGAAGCAAGATACACGAAGCCGAAGTTACTGCTACCTTTGTATCAAACGAACTGTTCGTGTGCTACGGCTCAAAATCGCATAAGGGGGCAGGCCACTCTTATATTAGTAGTATTACTTTTCAAAGTCGGCATTGACGGTGCTTTTGCTAGTTTTTATAGAAGGCTATTTTTGTCATGTCTATTTTTAGGATTTTTTCGCACGGATATTGATTAACACTTATATTAACTCACTGCGAGGGACGCAGACGATTAGCAAAGTTTTTGTTTAGTAGTTGCAGTGAAATCTGTATTTTTTGTAAATAATGAAATGTTTCTTTCAATCATTCAGAGACGACTTTTTACTTTACGACATTTTGAAGATTATATGTATATATATATATACTAAACAGAGCAAAATACTGAAACTTGATTCATGTCAAAAGAAAAATACATTCTTGTTTTACTAGTAAAGGTTGAAGTGTCATGTTAACAAATGTTTGGTTTCTGGATATGTAAAAGATCCTGTCAAGCCTGTTTCGCGCTGTCGTAGAATTTCGTGCTTGCTGTAATGTGCGTCTACATCACGCTCCCTCTAGTAGTCATTTCAACTTTAGGTCTGTCTCTGAAATACAAGTAAACAATTTTGTTAACAGAATTTTCGGACATATTTTATATTTTTTGGAAGGACATATTTTATTATATTTACATGATTAGATTACGTCAATTAACACGCACATGTATATATAAATATAAATAATCGAAAGCAGATCCCAAGCATTTAAAATAATGTATTAGTTTTATAAAACTAGTAGCTGCTTTAAACAAAAGTTAAATTCTGCAAAATATATATTTTTAGACGAGGAAGTTATGGTCGGCATATTTCTTTATTTCAGTCACAAATATAACTAAGCAATAAAAAAACGAGTTTAATCTTCATTTTTGTCAATTTTGGAGCTCTTCTAATATAGTATTAAAAGCCGAAGCCAAACATATTTAAGGTAATAAGCCAGTGGCTTATGAGTTTAATTCCTACCTCAAATTTCGTTTTTTTATTACGGTTTAGGGTGTTATAGGACTTCGTGAAAATGCTGAAGAAATATTTGAAATTCCCCTCTATGCTGGTGCACCCTGCTTCACTTTTTTATTTAATGATATGATTAATAATCTTTTAGGGTTTATTGCTTCAATTTTTACGTGGGACTATTCGTCATGATCTACCAGGGTTGTTGTTGTTTTCGTTTTCTTAGTGCAAAGCAACACAACAGAATATTTGCACTCTGTCCACGGACCCGGCATGGCCAGGTGGTTAGGGCGCTAGACTCGCAATCTGAGGGTCGCGGGTTCGAATACCCGTCACTCCAAACATGCTCGCCCTTTCAGCCGTGGGGCATTATAATGTGACGGTCAATCCCACTATTCGTTGGTAAAAGAGTAGCCCAAGAGTTGACGGTAGGTGGTGATGACTGCTAAATTAGGGACGGCTAGCGCAGATAACCCTAATGTAGCTTAGCGCGAAATTCCAAACAAACCACTCTGTCCACCGAGGAGAATCGAAGCCAGGATTATAGCGTTATAAGTTCTTAGACTTGCCGCTGACCCATCGATAGACATCTTTTAGGTTTTACTAAGACAATGCTCCATTAACACTTGGAGTGGCTCATGAAGCTAGTTCGATTTGTCTGTTTTATAAATCATTAAATCAATGAATGCATACGAATTAATACAACAGGGCCAGATTGTTTTTGCCAATGATTTAATTAAATACTCAAAAAGAATACCGAACTTTACGTGGTTTACTTGAGAAAACGGAGAAGCAATGGTGTGTTTTGTCAAATACAATTTAACGTAATTGTAGAAGAAATATTGAAACATTTAGCTAACTTAAGATTAGTAGTGACGATTGAGTCGTTCATGGATGCAAGAACAACCCGTGTAGTTTACAGTATGTTAAATAAATGGTGATAATTGGTTTTTAGTTTGTGAGGAACGATTATTTATTAATGGCTACGGTGCTTCGCTACTTAATTATATTTTATGACATTAAGGAACGGTGGGGCATGGCCTGATCGTTAGCGTGTGACTGCAACTCGAAAATTCAAAGGATCGAGCCCTGCACATTCGGCTGTCAATGCCGCTATTCAGTTAAGAGAAGCCGCTTGGACGGTGGGTACTACTTAGTGGTTTCCCTCTATCTAGAAAAGAGTTTTAAATTAGGATTAACTAAACCCGAACCTTAAGGTATGTGACCTGGCAGTTTAACCGTGTCACGTAAAGTGCAGTTAAGATTAAAAATACCAAATATAAAACATTATGTAATCATCAGGGGAATAAAGAATACTCTTAATATTACTGTAATAACTCACTGAAAATGTTCCGATTTCAATGTTCGTAGTAATTACTTGATCATGTAAGCATTCTATTGAAAACAAGCGACCACTAAGTTCAGGAAACCACGTTAATCTTTTTTTTTTTTATTGTCCAATATTTCAGCTCACGCCTTTATCAGAGACGTCTTAATATATATAGATGATAATGGTTTACTTCTAAAACTTAATATGTTAGATTAAGATCGTGCCTACTTAAGTAACTTGTTCATTTTTTTGTAATTTATTTTAATTTACGAGATTAAGTTTTAGGAATAAACGGTTATTGACTGTATGTGAATATGCATACTAAGATGTTCTTAATAAACGCTTACACTGAAAGGTTTGGCATTAATAAATTAATATTTAATTCCTTAGAACTAGTGGTAATCAGTATTCAATCTAATGTAACTGCATTTACTAATTTAGGCTTAACCCATTACCGACTGTATTTTTACTAAGACATCATTGGACATTGGGAAAAATTAGTAATTATTTTTTCACTGATTTTAACAGCTTGTTTTTATAAAGGATGATGACTTAATAATGTAGTAACATGCTGCAGTAACATATCCAGGTCACAAGTTTTGATGACTTGTGTACAGATTAAAAGCCCTCTAGAATGCCTTATTTTCCCTCAAACTGCTTCAGATAGCTTGTTATCTTGGAGAAACAATAACACTAGGAGGTCGAGTCACTTATGGTTTCTACATCGAATGCACAGAAATATCATCACAGACGTTTGTACTCCTTACTACTATTGTACCACGGAAAATGAACTGAATTTTATATTGCTAACGTTTTCTTCAATTAACATCAAGGCTTACTAAATTATATATTTTAAGAGCATCGTCCTATTTCCTTATATCAAATAAATGAGAAGACGAGACTAGGTTTTTAACGTTTTTGTTTTGCTTCTTTCTAACTCTTGAACACAAAAGTTATATTTAAGTTGTTATTTCTTTACACATTAAGTTTCCTCATATTGCAATCTAATAACTTCTCATATTCAGTTATTAGGCTTAAAGATACATTACTCCAGAGGGAGTTTGCTAAATTACTTACTGCTTGATTTCAGAACATTCAGTAACCTAAAATATACTTTTAATATGAAAATGAACACTGTTGTTTACCGTTACTATCACAGCGTGTTAAAGACCAGATAACTGGCTCTTTTAATAATAATTGACAACGTACAAAACAAGTAACCAAAATAATAGTTTATTAAGACATGAAACTAACTTGTTCTCAAACCTCACGTAACAAGAAAAATCCAACATTCGCAATAAAACATAAAATGTCTCACACCGTATAGGAAGTACAATAGTTTTGACACATGTATTCACTTTAAGGCTTAACAAAGTACGAAACAAAGTTACGATATTTCAAACAATATTTTGTAATTCTTTAATAAAACAGAAAAAAACTACGATAAATTGTTGTTCATCTTATTACCATGGCCTTATGTTTTCAAGAACTCTACTGACACGGTGTTTAAATACCTTAACACTAATTAAAGCTAGAAATACTCTCCCTTCATGCCAAATATATCCAGAATAAAAACTATGATACTGGTAAGCCATATAAGAAAGCGACATAGAGTTCAAAACTAACAGACAGTGTTCCTGTTAGTTTTCCATCTCTGGTTTGAAGAAATGGTCAGCTCTTGGAGTAAATTAGAGAAAACAAGCGCCGTGATATCGGAGACGGTGAGGAAAAGCTACATAGTATAATTTGTGTGTTTCTTTCTCGTTAGTCTTTGAGCAGCACACATTACAAAAGTCACGTCTGAGAACAATATTCCTTGAAACCAGTCTCGAGAAGCTGATGGGTTGAAGTGTTGAGGACGTTTATTTACATGTTCCATCCTGCAAAAAAAAGACACTACATGAAAAATGTTTCTTTAGTAAAGCATTATTTAACTATGAAAGTTTTTCAAAATATTTAGTACAAAAGAACAAGTTTTGTTTATAAGCTGAGCAGAAGTTTTCAGAATATTTGGCGCATTTCATATACTTGAAGGATTAAGAATAACATCTGGGCGCATAAAAAAAAGTTAATTAAACATATAAAAAGAATATAATATGCCCTAGTGAAAACACCTTAAGATTATCAGTAATATAAAAATTGAATGTGGAATATGTTGTGAAAAAGCTAATTATCACTATTTAAGATGAACTGTGAACAAACCACAGTTTGCGACACGAACCAATCAGAGTGCTATAAAATCACACCGTATTTTTTTATTAGTTTAGTTACTTCTATTAACGTAATTCCAAGAACATTTCGTTAGTTGAGCCATTATAGGCCCCCCAGTGGCACAACGGAATGTCTGCGGACTTACAACGCTAGAAACCGGGTTTCAATACCCGTGGTGGGCAGAGCACAGATAGCCCATCGTGTAGCTTTGTGCTTAACTACAATCAAAGAGCCATTATAGAGGATTTTATTTAAACCTACACTCGTACATTATGGCATCAGTGAAAATTATTCATAGTAAAGTGTTTGTTAGTATTCAAATAAATAAACAAAATAAGCCAATGGGAACAAAATGACAAGACCGCTAAAACATCAAAGTGTGAAAAGTTGTTATTACGTATACGTAAAACAGACACACGCCTAATTTACCGATATACGAAACATCGATGTCAGTGACTCGTTCGACAAATTAATAAACCGACTATATAGCAAACCTCTCGTTGGCTGGATGTGTTGTATTTAAACATAAAACTACACAATGGACTACCTGTGTTGTGTGATATGTCTGATAGTGGAAAAACTGTTTAGATATAAACTTGGCAGTGAAAGAGTGAAAAATATGTTCAAAGCATTACACGTTGCTAACACCCTATTATAGTATTAACATCTAGTTATACCAGGTTATTTACACCACAGTTTAATAAATTTGTATCATCTCCCAAAATGTTTTCTATTTTTAATCAAAAATGGGTCCACCCTCTTATTTTTGTTCTATTATTATTTTTTAGGGGCATCTAGTTTTTATTCTTTATGAGATAAATGCAAAAGCCAAGTGAACTTCCTTTAAAAGCTATGAGTACAAGTCATGTCATAAGGAAATCATTCGCAATTTTATAAAAACATTGTCTCCATTTCTAGACACGTCTGAAAACTTTTCATAGTTTTGTGATCATGATTTAAAACAAAATAAGCTTCAATAAAACAAGATGGAATCCTCAATAGTCGCCGCACTTGAAATTAACTTAGATATTATTAGAGTAAATTAATCTATGAGACCTCTTTTTCCCTTTTATTACCTATAATTTGTGCGTCACCAACACCAAGAGTGGGGCGCGAATATACCCGATTCGATTTTATTGCTCAACTCTATCAGCCTATGTTTCGGATATGGGTAAGTTAGTCGTGTGTCTAAAAATATGGCCGAGTTTCGGATATCGGTAAGTTAGTCGTGTGTCTAAAAATATACCCGATTCGATTTTATTACTCAACTCTATCAGCCTATGTTTCGGATATCGGTAAGTTAGTCGTGTGTCTAAAAATATACCCGATTCGATTTCATTATTCAACTCTATCAGCCTATGTTTCGGATATCGCTAAGTTAGTCGTGTGTCTAAAAATATGGCCGATCGATTTGACTCTGTTTTGCGTATAGGTAATAACAACTTTTCATATCTCTAAATTTTATGAATTATGTATCCCCGTCACACCAAACATGCTCGCCCTTTCAGCCGTGGGGGCGTTATAATGTGACGGTCAATCCCACTATTCGTTGGTAAAAGAGTAGCCCAAGAGATGGCGGTGGGTGGTGATGACTAGCTGCCTTCCCTCTAGTCTCACACTGCTAAATTTGGGACAGCTAGCGCAGATAGCCCTCGTGTAGCTTTGCCCGAAATTCAAAAATAAACAAACAATGAATTATTTACACTCAGAAGCTTGAAGTTCTTCCCTAGTTGCCCAGCGATAAGTCTAATGGCTTATAGCGCTAAAATCGCGTTTCGATACCCGGTGTGGGGGGGAGGGAGGGAAATTTTCATTGTGTAATACGAAACAAATAACCGCAAACGTAAGGAGGAAAACTTTTACAACCCATATTTATTTAACTTCACCAGATATTTTTAAGTAGAAATGGTTTGAAATTAGTATACTTAAAGTTTAGTTTTTATGTTTTAGAAAAACAGGAAGTGCTTAACTTCAAGTTTGACTTAATGAAGTATTTTTTGTCATTGATTGATTAATTTGTTTCTATTAAACAAGGGTTGTTGTTTTTTTTCTCTAGTTAACTAGATAAAATTAAAATATTGAAAAGATTAACAAGTGAAAGTATATTGTATGGTTTTTGATGAAACAACTATCTACAAAGTTGTAATTTTTACTGCATAAAATCTGTCTTTTATAACTTTTGTTTTTAATTTGCGTTGAATAGCAGAGATTGAAGCTGTATATAATAAACTTGTCTTTATTTATGGAAACAAAATTATTGTTGTTATTATAGTTCTTATAATAAGTATACATATAAGTATGTAGCTGTAAGTAGTTGGCTATCTTGTGGATTTAACATCTGCTGGTGGTCACGCAAGGTATCGCTCTTCAGAGGTCAATTTTACCTTTAATAATACGTTCATTACAAAATCAGTAAAAAAATATAAATTTCAACCCGCTCTACTCGAACTTCAAAATTTCAGATAATTGAAATCAATGAGTCAATAACTTTCCATAATCTTTCTTATTGATTTTACGTTTTAACTTGAATAGCATTGAGTCATTAATTATTTTTTCTAGAGCTTTCGACTTGAGCTCCTAGTTTAGAAGTAGTACACTTAGGGGCTAAAGAGCAGTAAAACTGCAAGAACTCTTTCCTCTTGAAAAACAGATAAAGTGGATACCGAAGCAACGTGTCTTAGGATAATATATTCTTCTTTATACAACCTACCCGAACTCCTGTGTTGCTGGTTGGAATATTTAGTGATAAATTACACAATCTCAGAAAATGCTAGGTACCTTAACGTTCCTGGGGGACGGAGCTGGTGTCGTCAAGTGTAGGCTAAAACTAAAAGTCGCTGATCAGCAAGGCCGAATCAATAGGGTGATAGAAACCCAGGAAATAACGACTAGAAGAAGCGTGCAGTAACAGTCACTGGAGGAAGATGACGTTTCGGCATCGTGCTGCATGGCTGCCAGTTGTTCTCCTGTGTACAATGAAACAACACTTACTTACTTTGTAACACGTAAAAAATAAACCCTTTCAATCATTGTGCATTGCAAGTTAGAAACGAAACAAAGGAAACATTCCAGTGCATTATGTATTAACTTTCTTGAATTTAGTGACATTTTCGTGCATGCTTGAATAGGTTGTCATTACTGCTTGGAAAGAAATAATTATTAAAACAAATTACTCGGAGCTGAAAAAGTTGAACAGAATACTGATTAACTTAAAATACATCACTATGACAACACTATAACTTAAACCTAAACAATACATGCTACTATAACTTAAACATATAGCAATACATGTTACGATAACTTAAACTTATAACAATACATGCTACTATAATTTAAACTTATAATAATACACATTACTATAACTTACTGTTATTTGTTGAACCTATAACAATACACATAGCCATAACTCAAGCCTATAACAATACACATTACTATAACTTACAGTTACTTGAACCTATAACAATATACATCGCTACAGCTTAAATCTATAATGATATACATTACTGTTACTCAAGCTGATAATAGGACATATTATTTACATAAAGTTTGGGTTTGGTTTGTTTTGAATTTCGCGCAAAGCTACACAAGGGCTGTCTGCGCTAGCCCTCCTTACTTTAGCAGTGAAAGACTAGAGGGAAGGGAGCTAGTCATCATCACCCACCGCCAACTCTTGGGCTACTCTTTTACCAATGAATAGTGGGATTGACCTTCACATTATAATGCCCCACGGCTGAAAGGGTGAGCATGTTTGGTAGGACGGGGATTCGAACCCGTAACCCTCAAATTGCGAGTCGAGCACCCTAACCACCTGGCCATGCCGGACCCATTAACTTTTGAAACAGCTATAATTCCACAAATAATTGTTTCAAAACTTTATATATATATGTTCGATGGTTAAGTGGGTACATTTAAAAAAACGACACATCACTGTTACTTAAACCCATAATAATATAACAATATCCACCATTTTCACTTAAACCAGGAGAGAATCTCAATCAGCGCTAAGAGCAAACAAATTATTATAGAAATTGTGCTGAGTAGCGACATAAGGTTGTTTGCCACATTATAAATATTAGTATACAGAAATTTTACAATACATTCTGTTTGTTAGCTTATAGAATTGGTTTAAAAATCACGGAGGTTGGCATGCTTCAGAATTTTTGCGTACTCGCCCTGCAGATGAAGTGAATATTGGTATGAATGTTTAAAGAAATATTTAAGCCTAGAATATAACACACCCTTATTACTTAAACTTATGATAGTGGAAAACTAGTAAACTATTCTGTGCAATACACAGAACAAGTTTGTTAAATAAACATTATGTTTCCTGAGCAGCATTGAAGAGAAGTTTCTGATGGCCGCCATTGTTTTATCAGAATGTATTCGTGTAAATATCTAAACCAAGGAAAGTGGAAAATTTACAGTGTTGGAATCATGAACATACTATAAATATATATAAGCTCATAAAGCATCTGCAGATATATTTACAATTATCATATAAAAGGTTTAACCTCTTTTATGAATATATATATATATATATATTTATATGTATATATGATACAGCAATAAATTTTTACGAAGTTCACGGTATTTGGTATTACAGTTAAATAATCTAATCTACAAATATCAGTGTAGAGCTTAAACAAAGTTTCGAATTTGGATCAATGTATTGTCCCTGTGAATACCAAAATACTCCCCGGATCAACGTACTGTCACTGTGAATACAAAATACTCCCCGGATCAATGTATTGTCACTGTGAATACCAAAATACTCCCTTGATCAATGTACTGATTGATCAAGGGAGTATTTTAGTATTCACAGTGAATACTGTCACTATGAATACAAAAATACTCCCCGGATCAATGTATTGTCACTATGAATACAAAAATACTCCTCGGATCAATGTACCGTCGCTCTGAATACCAAAATACTCCCCGGATCAATGTACTGTCACAGTGAATACAAAATACTCCCCGGATCAATGTATTGTCACTGTGAATACCAAAATACTCCCTGGATCAATGTACTGTCACTGTGAATACCAAAATCCTTCCAATAGATCGTTTACAATTGGTAATGAAAACTGAATTTTTTTATTTAGTTTTGAAAATAAAAAAATTAATATCGAACCTTATATCTAATTTTGAATGTTGTAGTTATGATATATTTACATGATATGATACTTTTATGAAGTAGAATGATACTAGATATTTACTTGACATTCTATGATACTATATGCGATATTCATATGACAAGGTATATGTGATATTTACATAACATGGTATGATATGATATGTGATATTTATATGATACATATGCTATTTATATGATATTATATGGCACATATGATATTTATATGACAAGGTATGATACATGTGATATTTATATGATATTTTATGGCATATGTAATAATTATATGATATTGTATGATACATGTAATATTTATATGACAGTGTATGATACGACATGTAATAGTTATATGACACAAGCTGAGGTACCCATCCATTGTCCGGGTTATGAACTTAAAAATAATGTTGGGGTGGATGCTGTGATAAATTACACACAAATGCTAACTTTCACACAATATACTTATAACATAACTATTATTACAGTATTCATTATTATCACACTAAACGTTTTGTATAAGATTTAAGAACTCAATATTTATATACTTATGTGCGATGGTCAGGGTGACTTTGTAGGAAGAGGTGGCGATAAAAGTAGTGGCAATAGGGGTGCTTTCTGTTACCCGCTTTCAACACCCAGCTTTTAAATGGCCTTACACAGTGTTTCACATGGTTAATTAATTGAATGTCATTGCCTTCAGAAGTGTTTTACGGGCCGAAGATGAAAGGTCACGGAAAGTAGGAAGTGGGTATAACTCAAAAAACAGCTCTTATGTTGACTGTTGGAGTAGAAACTTCAGCTGAGTTTATGTAGTATTGCCATTTTTTCATTGCATTCCTCCATAGATAGTGATAGTGCACGCTCTGAGATATACAAGATATTAGTGTGCCCTCCCCCACACTGAGTGTATTTTGTGTTATAAAAAAATTAATAAAGTTTCTTTTTTGTTTTTGATGTAAGGACGTGGCACCATCTATAAATGTAGTTAACGTTAACTTCTGTCAAAGATAATAAACGCTTAATAACAGCAATAATGGGAGTGGTGGAGGTTGTGAACCACCCCTTAACATGCCCCTTGTTCCAAACTGTCATTCCACAAAGTTTGGTTGAGTTTGGTCTAGTGACCCAGGAGGAGTTAAATAAAGGACAAACAGACAGACACACAAATTTAAATGCTTTACATATATATATACATATGTATATAGATTGCATGATATGATATGTGATATTTATACTATATTGTATGACACGATATGTGATATTTATACTGTATTGTATGACACATATGTGATATTTGTATGACATTGTATAACACGATATGTGATATTTGTATGACATTGTATGATACGATATGTGATACTTATATACGTTGTGTGATACGATATGTGATACTTATATACGTTGTGTGATACGATACCAAGGTAATGCTAACGATATTGGCCTTGTTCAGCACTAACGTTTCTCAACAGTTTATGAGCTTGGAATATAGTTAGATTCTCTCAGTTACGTGTAGCATACTTTTAAAAAATATAATAAAATGTAATAGCTCTAATTTTAAGGTGAAATTATAGTTAAAAAGCTAAATAAACTCAAACCCACTAAAAATATTGCTAATTAGTTTCAGTTTTTGTTACCATTCAAAACGTGTACGCTAATGCTTGTAGCGTCTGCATTGGACGGGCAACAAGTGTAGTTTCCCGAGTCACTGGTCTTGGCGTTTATTATATTAAGGGAGCTGAGAGCCGTGTCTTCGTTTATCTTCTGTAGTGTCGTGTGGCCTCGTGAAGGGTCGTAATTGATCACAGTGTCACCGTGGTACCAGAATACATAGATTGGGGGTGAGGGACTGCGGGTAATGATGCAGGTTAGGTTGATAGTGCTGCCACTTTCGAAGTGCAAGTCTGGAGCACCCGCAATGGCGGCTTCTGGGACTGCAAAAAAACACAAGTTTCGTTTATGAAAAATCTAAGGTTATCAATAAACTTGTAAACATTTTGTTCAGAAAAGTGATTCAGTGGACAAAAATCTACTAGATTCTATATAATATAAAATACCTTTGTGGTTGTATTCTATATTTCACTACTCATTGTAAAGAAAGGAAAAAAAATAACTTATTTCCTATATAAATTACCTAAGGGACTCCAACAGTAATTTGAGGAATTAATTGTGATATTTTTATGACTCATGTGTTATAATGGATCCTGTAATCAACAAAGTCATAAATCTACAAGCAATTTGATAAACTATTTATGCACAAAATGTTTTTAGAAAGGCTGTGGAGTCGGTAATTCTAGTATTAATAATATATATATTTTTTTAATAAATCAACGGAAACCAAAGAAATTATCGTGATATAGCAGCAGATAAATATACTTTTTCAATGTTTTTAATGTATCTCATTAAAGTGAATAATATAGGTTTGATTTCGCATTTTATGTTCGTGTTTTACAGTATTCTGTTTAACTTTTTATTTCTCGTTTACTCTTTTATTTTATAACAACACATGGTTAGCTTTATGTTTTTCCTTACTAACTTCAATTTTATTTTTGTTTTGATCTCTAGTTTTATTCAGTGTTTAACATTTTAATCCTTATTTCCCTCTTTTACATTTAAAGTTGTACGTTTTAAATTGACATGATTACGACATGGTTCCATTTTACAACCCATCGTTTTGCTGGACGTTTCACACGTTTCTTTATTTTCGATTACATTTTTCCTTCATAATTTTCATTTTCTATTTTTTGCTGTTTAGTTCTTACTTCTTTGATTACGAAAATCAATCTCCAAGTTTCACTCTAACAGAAACAAACGTACATTTTCCTTTGTTTAATTTAATTTCATGATTCATTTTACTTTCTCATGTTGATTATCATGGTAATTTCGGTGTGGTATCTGTATCACAAAAGTTAAGCCTAAGATTTAGGCTAAAATATGTCTGTTAGAGAACATTTAACGAAGTTTAAGACATACAATCAGTCTTTGGTGCTTTATACTTTTATTTATGTCAATATTTATAACAGATACAGCAAAACCAAATATGAATAATCTAAATACTGCTAGCAAATTAGCTAAAAACATTGGACTGCGCATAGTCTAATCTCAAGTTAACTGTAGTTTAGCGTTCTAAAACTACGAGATTCTTTTTTTCATTTCGAATATCAATTCTTTGTTTTAAAGTAAGTTCTTATTCAACTCTAAAGCATTACTTTAGCAACGTTCGATCTTTACTATTTTAGTAGATAAAAATAGATAAGCATTAGGGTCGAAATTAAACCAGATTTAGACTATATTTTATTTTCGAACACAATATTTTTTTGAATTAAACATTTACTTGTAATCGTTCTCTCCTGTTTTTCTTCTGGATGCAGATATAACCTTGAAAATGGAAGAATTATCATTGCGCAGACGCAGAAATGAACTACGCGGTGGAACTAATCGATAAAAAAACTTTGTCTCGCCCTCTATAAATACAATTTGGGATATGAATATGGAAAACGAGAAAGTAAAACCATAATAACAACAATAATAATAACAGTAAAACACGACATCTTAAACCAGTAATGAGAAGGCGAATCATAAAGGAGAACGAAATTATTGAGAGAGAAATATGGACAAAAATTAAAAACTTTAAACTATTAATGACCAGCAGATTGTAAAACATGAAAGGTAGATGAATAAGAAATTTTTTTTAAAATGTTTGAAATAAATCATATTTTTAATGTTTAATAACATTAAAGATAGAAAAGAACTGAAATAGTGCATCTTAAGTTTCAGAAAGTTTGTTCGTTTTGCTGGACAAAGCTACACACAGGTATTTAAACTCGGTTTTTAGCGTTATAAACCTTCAGACTTAATGCTTGGCCACTGGGAACTATTTAAAAAAAAGTCGTTAGATTCGCATGACAAAATAATACTGAAGAATCACACACTGTATTTTAATTTCATTTTAAGCTTCACGAATCTACTAAGGTAGATAAATCGTTAGGCCTTGTTTATTTCTTACTAAATACAGTGTTTTCATAGGGACTATTTTAGTATTTTAAAGTGCTAGAATGATAGGATAGCTTGGCAGATTTTACAACTCATTATTTAAGTAAAGTATTTTAATGATTATGTAACAATCAGCAGTTTGATTACAATCTTTGCTCTGTATTTAGATGGTTCCAATACGTACTTGGGTTTGCATGCTGTATTACAATCAACATGTTCTTTAGTATTGATGTGGTTTAGTTAAACTAGAGGAACTTCTAGTTAGACAGTTGGCAAAACAATGTTCAGTTCACCATAATGGGACAAATTTGTTTTGAGACATCCCAAACGAGGGCGGACAGTTACATACTTCGCAGAAAAAGTTTATACGTAACGAAAAAAAAGTTACTAACCTTCTTAGTTTCTAACTAAAATAACCCTATCGGTGAAATTACTACACAAATCGTAATGTTTGTGTTGTATTTACTGGGAAGGAAGAAGACCCGTGATTGATGATAAAAAGATCTTCAAGAAATTGTTACTCCTGCGAAGGGGATTTATGGCGTTTCCCGGTGGATCAGTGATAAGTTGACGGACTTACAACGCTAAAATTCGGGGCTCAATTCCCGTAGTGGATAATGCGTAGATAGCACTATATGTAGTTTTGTGCTAAAAACAAATAATCAGCGTTTCTTTTACTTACTGAGAACTGTGAGATACACAAAGTAGCTGATCATAGGATGAGTGTTAACTTGACATTCATAAGATCCAGCGTCCCCAGGCTGCACTGACGCCATCTGTAGGATCCAGTCGTTTGAATCTTCAACATATACCACCTTAAATCTTTTTTCAGCCGTATAAGTCACGTGCCCAACCGATAACAGGTGGAAATCCTTTCTCCGTATCCATGACACCTAAAATAAATTATAATTGGATTATATTTATCACTTAATTGTTTCGAGACAGATCTTTATGATCAAGCTCTGTAACTTAAGTAATTGGCAGTTCTGGTTTGAACCAGTTTTTAATTTATTTAACTGCTCTCTCTCCCTCAGGATTTTCTCGGTAAACAGAATTATTTTCCTCTTTGGAAATAAAAGTTATTAGTATTTCTATTTGAAAGAAATTTATTTATAAAAACAAAAACACATCTTTTGATATTCATGCGCATTGAATTTGTATACTAGATGGCGGAATTACTGTATGGATTTTGGCAGAACAGAAACCTCCAAGCAAAGCCATTCCGATCAGGGATATTCGAATATAATATCATTTTTATTTTTGTATAAATTAGTAAGAAATCGAAACATGGATAAAAGAGTAACATAAAAATCATTGGAAAAGTATTTACACATACTGCATGATTTCATTAATTTCAACCTACTCACACAGATTTGTCTAGCTATCTATCCCTTCTTGTTAAGTGACTTCTGGATGAAAAGAAGCCTTCTTTACGCATATTTAGGCTTTTATATGTTCATAAACCTAGAAGTAGGATGTTAGTTTGAAAACATGTTTCTGAAATTCGTGAATGAATAAACATTTTAATACTTTAATAATATACGAATCTCTGTATTATCCATTAATGAATTAAGAACCGAGTAGACCCTAATTTTCCTGAAACAAAAGATTAATTAAAACTAATTAATATGGAATAGCTTAAACATCAAATTCTAAGGAGCCTTATTACCAGTCCCGATGGATGGGAGAACGCGCTACATTACGTGTTTCTAAAGTCACTGTTAAAATTTTAACCTTCTGGTAATCAATACGATAAAATGATCACATTACATTTTTGGAAATGTAACGTTCTATTATACGCAGAGTATTGTAATTTAAGAATGATTTTATACATTTGAGCACTGTTAACGAAGGCCTTCGGGGTGAGCATCCTTATGGAATAGGGTTGAAAATCATTTAAACGCCTAGTCTCGGTGCCTTGGAGTACCAATTCACTTCTGAAGAACAAAGGTATACCTTTCCACAGCTATCGGCTTATCAAATTTTTGGTGTGTTTTGTGATTTAACTATTTTACTCATCATATCTGTTTCTTCTGGCATCGTGAGATGGTCTTGGTTGCCATCATTCGTAAGGAAAAAAGATGCAATACTAAGCAATACGAAAAAGTAGTTGATACTGCTTACAAAGCAAGTTCAATATTTGTGCTGCACCCTATCGGACAGAACTAAAAGTTTGCAGATATCACAAGAACCTATTACTAAAATGTAGAAATTATTCCAGACTAATTGTGCTACAGCCACCGATTTTTTTTAGAAAAACATTTTTGTCAAGAAAAGAGTGATGTTATTTTATGACGCATGAGCAGTTCTTGTCGAGCGTTGACACAGTTGAGCGTTCGTGTCCACGAATACGAGTCAAAGTTTCGGAAAAGCATTTGTTACGACAGTACAATTGTATCTAGAAGAATAAAATGCATTATTCGAGTAAAATCATTAATACAACATTAAAACAATTTCGTTCTTGTTGGTATCTTTGGTATACCTGTCAATCGATAGAGCAAACACTGATTGGACAAGTTTCCGTTAGGAATAAGATCAAGATTAATGAGGAAACTACTCCCATACGAACAGATTCTTACAAGATGTGCGAAAATATAGACTACTGTTATGGAAAGAGAAATAACTTTAATATTTCGATAAAAATGAAACAAAAAGTATTCGAGTATTATACGTTGACAAGATTCAAAATAATTTAATAAGTTATTCTCTATCAGCAAAGTATTAAGTATTACGTTGCTGAGATTTATTTTCCACCAAGTGAAAGTTTCTGACAGTTAAAAAATAGTTTGATTAAAAAACCCACCGGTTAATGCAGGGGATGGGGGAAGAGGAAGAGATTTAATATTTCATAAAAACTGAATTTAAACTGGGAACTTTAGGTCACCGTCCTGACAATTGAACGTATTTTCATTTCTTCTTCTTAGTTCAATGCTTAATTCAGGCAATTGCTAAGTTCGTTTTTCACAACTTCTTGACAACGAAAAGTTTTGAAAGCAATTTCTTAACCCCCTTTAATGTGCAAAAGACATGAACATTTGTGCACACATTAAACATCTATGAAATATCAATTAATAAAGTAGCTTTTATAACAATATATCTAGCTATTCAACAATACAGCTAGATAACATTTAATATACCTTTTAGTTAGTACAGCTATTAGAAACGTTTTGTTTAATTTATTAGTGATTATAGTTAGGTATTTCTTTAAGTTTTCTCAAGACATACTATTTTTTTTGTTTGTTTATAGTTAAGCACAAAGCTACACAAAGGGCTATCTGTAATCTACCAACCACGGGTATCGAAACCCAGTTTCTAGCGCTGTAAGTCCACAGACATGCTGTTGTGCCACTGGGGGGCGATTTATTATTAATCTATAAAAGTTAGAGTCCTAATTTAAGTTACACAAGATTGTAATTTTTTTTGAGCAAAATGTTTCGATGTGAATGAAAGTAAAAAGTAGATTTTTACTGGAGTTTTCATTTTGTTTCCAGGAGCTATTTTTCTATCCTAGTTTTTGTATTTTTAAAGTAATGATCATTATATATATCTCCTATAGTTTTGAAATGTAAAAAAACAAACAGTTATATAAGAAAGATACATGAAATGTAAGACAAAAACACTAAAGATGTTATGCGACTGTTTAGCATATTTTATATTCTATTATAAAAATTAAAAAAAACTGTATTTTTGTAAAAATAATACCACTTGCTCTAATATTTTGATATAGTTTGTATTGATACAAATTGATTTTAGTGATGAAGAATTTCATCATATTTGGCCCCTTGATGCATGATAACTTTGTTTTGAAATACATTAAAGCTAGTAGCATCCTCTGGTGGATGAAAGAAAAAAGGTACAAATGAATTGGTTCTATACTGACAAGCAGAAATGAAGATATATATAAATCGATTTGTAAATGCATGGTTTAAACGAACACGAATAACAACGCTAAAACGTGCACAGCATAATGATAACGCCCACATATATTTGGATCATGTAATGCCTAGTTTAAATAAACACGAGAAACAAAGCTAAAACGTGCACAGCGTAGTGATAACGTCAACAAATATTTGGATATGTTATGCATAGTTTAAATGAACACGAAGACCAACGCTAAAACGTGCACAGCGTAGTGATAACGTCAACAGATATTCGGATGATGTAATGCATTGTTTAAAGGTAACACTAAGATCAACGCTAAAACGTGCACAGCGTAGTGATAACGTCAACAGATATTCGGATGATGTAATGCATTGTTTAAAGGTAACACGAAGATCAACGCTAAAACGTGCACAGCGTAGTGATAACGTCAACAGATATTCGGATGATGTTATGCATAGTTTAAATGAACACGATGACCAACGCTAAAACGTGCACAGCGTAGTGATAACGTCAACAGATATTCGGATGATGTAATGCATTGTTTAAAGGTAACACGAAGATCAACGCTAAAACGTGCACAGCGTAGTGATAACGTCCATAGATATTTAGATACTATATTTTGCACGCTTTAGCCAAAGTAGTCGACAAATATTATTCGTAACATCTGTTAAACGAAATAACCAAATGCGACAGTTAAAGAAATCCTTGTTTTTTCAAGACGTACAAATATAGCTGCTACCTAACTTTTATTTTTAAAACGACAAACTCGTTTTAAGAATGGAATTAGAGAACAAGAAGAGATCCAAGGCTCAATTATTGATTATAATATATATATAAAAATATAAAATACTTTAAGTTCTCTAAACTATTTTATTTTAGCTAGTCCAACAGCTTGTTTGAGAATGTTTTCACAAAACTTTGTTAACAATGTTGATTTTGAATTAAATCAGTTATTATATTCTGACTGTTTGTGTCGGTCACCAACGAAAACTTCTAATGCAGTGTAGAGTTACGATTCTGAAGCGTATGCTTAGATTTATTGAAGACTTGTCGTATGCATATGACGTCTTCCGATGACAAACTATTAAAGTAAGAAGTCAATCTATAGGAAAATGATGCTTAACGAAGAAAATAACTTTTATCAAAACTCAGGGAACATTTTTATAGAGAATTTTCTCAAACCAAGATCGTCATCATTGAAGATTTATTTATGCTGTTAGAGTGGTATACGTATAAGTGTGTTAATGGTTGGATTAAGATGTGTTAAAAAGTTTAAAATGGAATAAAAAACAAAATAACATCAATGACAAAACAATGATCATAATTTAAGAAATTAATATGATAAAGTATAACACAATTTATGTAAATATTAGCTTATCTACTGGTCCTCCAGTGGGTCAGTGAAGTTTCCGAATTTCTAGCGTGTTTTAATAAGAAAATACTTGTGCATTAACTTAACCATTATTTCAAATATGTATTAACGATGTTTAGTTTGTTTGTTTGTCTGTTGTTAAGCGCAAAGTTACACAATAAACTATCCGTGCTCTAATCACCCCGGGGATCGAAATCTGATGTTTACAGTTATAAGCCCTCAAGCCTATTGCTGAGCCAATGGGCGACGCGATGTTTAGAATCAAAGTAGAATATACAGAAGAAGGTGATGTGTTTAGAGAACAACAGTGTTAGTTCTCGCAAAGTTCAAAAAACCTTTTTGATTTTTAAAAAATAAAATGTATTTTTGTTGTTGCTGTTCTTGCTATGAAAATATTTTAACAGATAAGTTGTTGTTGTTGTGTTTTTAACGCAAAGTACACAATGGGCTATCTACACTCTGTCCACCATGGAGAATCTAACCCCGAATATTAACATTGTAAATGCTCTGATATTTCCCTATTGTATCCTTAAACCAGAGTTTTTACGTCATGGCTAGAAAAAAAAAAAGTCATGCGTTGATATGCAGAGGTATTAAATATATCTTTGTTCTCCATGGAAATATTCCTAACTAAACGTT